CCGACAGCTCCCTCACAGGCCCTAAACCCCTACTAAGCACCAGAGACCCTAAACCCTAAAACCCTAAACCCTAAACCCTAAACCCTAAACCCTAAACCCAACCCTGTCTTGCTCAACCCTGAAGCCCTAACGCTCCAAAGCCCTACTCAAAGGATCATGGAACTTAGTAACTATAGGGTTCTTTAAAGTTCTCCTTAAAAGGGGTCTATAAGGGTTTTATAAGAGGGGTCTTGGGTTACTTAAAGTATCATAAAGCCATAGAACCACCTCCCCAAAACCCCAAAGCCCCAGGAGCAGTGTAAAATCCTTCTGGTCCCTCATCCGTAAAGCCGTGCAAAGCCGAACCCACACCTACAGCATCAACCGAAAACCCTACTTAAAGGATCATGGGACTTAGTAACTATGGTTATTATTAGGGTAGCCTTAGTTGTAACTACTTATTATAACCCCAATTAAGGTACTTAGAACCCTACTTACAAAGTCCCATGATCCTCCAAGCAGAACCACCACCCCAAAACCCAGAAGCACCTACAGCCCCAAGGCTTCAAACCTCGAAACCCTAAAACTCCAAACGCTAAGCCCTGAACCCTAAACCTTTAAAGCCAGGAATCCTAATTCCTCAAGTCACGGGGGGGAGGGGATATTAATTCTGCGTCTTCACTTAAACCCTGAAGCTCTAAATCGTTACTCCCTAAATCCTAAACCGTTGACTCAAGCCCTTAAGCCACTTTAAACTTCAAGCCCCTACTTGGAAGATCATGGGACTTAGTAAGTATGGTTATAAGTACCCTAATTGGGGTTATAAACAGATATAAGTATAGTTACCCTAATAATAACCTTAGTTGCTAAGTCCCATGATCCTTTAAGTACCAGGTCTTCAGGTGAGCCCCCCGGCTTCTGGCGGGGGGCATCTCTGGCGGCTGCCGTGGCTTCCAGTCCTCCTCGGCCTGGCTCTCCTCCTCCCGTCGCGGGCGTGAGTCATAGGAGGCCAAAAGGGGTTTTAGCATATGGGGTTTATTAGGGATTAGGGTTCCCGTAATAGGGTTCATATTAAGGAAGCCCTACCCCCTAAACCCTAAACCCTAAACCCTAAACCCTAAACCCTAAACCCTAAGCCCTACCCCAAGAATCTTAAACCCCCCCTTTGGCCTCCCATCAGTGAGAGGGCCTTGGGGTTCGGTTCCTGTGGCATTGGGTTTAGACCGTGGGTGTAGGGAATAATAGCGTTTTAGGGTTTACGCTTTGTAGGGTTCTAGGGTTAGGTTCAGGCTTTAGGCTTTAGGGCACAGTAGGGTTTCAGGGTTTAGATTTTAGGGTTAAGGGTTTAGGCTTTAGGGAATAATGGGGTTTAGGGTTTAGGTTTTAGGGTTTAGGGCCTAGGGCTTCGGTTCTACTGTGGCGAGTTTTGCAGGGATTCTCGAGGGCAACCCGCACATCCGACCTAGAGTCCAAACAAGCGACAGTTTTTTGTGTCAACTTGTTATGACTGCTTGATTCGTGTAAACCCTTGTGGCTGCAGTTTTGGGGGTCTGAAGAAAAGCCACTCTGGAGCCTAAACGCTAAACCCTCGAACTCTGCACAGTAAACCCGAATTCCTAAACTCAAAAATGCAACAGTAAGGCGTCGAGCGGATGGCTCGAGCCTGATCCCAAAATCCCGAGGCCCATGAACGCTTGCATTTTTCTTAGTGCTCTTTTCCCATAGTGGCAACTCAGGGTACAGGAGGTCCCATACATGGGCAACGCAGGCTTTCTCATAAGCGGTACCTTGCTGCCATAACAAGAGCACTAGGTTCATTTTTGGGGCCCTGACACAGCGCCGCCCCCGCTAAAGCGGGGTGGTTGCCATGGGACAAACTTGTCCAAGCGCGCCCGTGGGCAGGCTTGCTTTAGTCCTTTGCATTCCTAGTATAGTCACCCTAGATCCTGAATCTTACACCCTTTTACCTCAAGCCCTTAAGCTTCAAACGCTAAGCTTTCGTCAAGTTCCTTGACCAGAGCCGTAGTAAAACCCTAGACCCTGAACCCTAAACCCTCGAATTCTGAGTTTAACTTGGGAGGTCCTCCCACCTTCAATGCCCGCGAAGAATTCGTCAACCTGAAACCGAAAGCTCCGAGCCGCATAGGGTGTGAGAACTTTAATACTCTTGACTTTATTATTGTTCTGTTTTGCATAAGCTGCATATGTTTAAGTACCTAAACACATACAAAGAAGCTGACAAATAACTATATCAATAAATAAGTTGATAAGTGACTATTTTCATGAAAACCTAAGTACGTATCACCAAATAAGGTAAGTGCATAAGTACAAATAGAAGTATGAATAGAGGCACACATTTTTGGTTATATGTATAGGTATATATATATACACTTGATAAACATGAAGATTGAAATATATACATACAAATACACCTGTAATGGCAAATCCAATCAAGATAAACCTATAATTAAATGCAAATGTGAACTGTCCATGTGAACGTAAATCCAAGTATACATCCAAATCTAGATATAAATAAAAATACACATGCAAATGCGAATGCACATACAAGTGCGAACGTAAATACATATCTAGTTATAAATCTGAGTAACAAATACAAGGGTTAGTTTAAATATACCGTTGAATATCAGTATCAATATAGTCATCAAGTTAAGAACGAGCAAAAATATAATTGTACATACATAAAGCAGTAAGTAACTAAATGAGTACGTATAATTAAACACACACATGTATATATATATATATATATATATATGTATGTACACACACACGGATACACGTAGGTATAGTATAGTATGCTAAAGCCTGAGAATCTTATTCTAAATGGGGTACTGAAGACTCATCAGCATGGTTTGTTTTGGGTTAGAGCATAGAGCCCGCGAAAGCACAGCGAAATACCCAACTGCAAGCCCTAAACAGTAAACCCTGAACCCTAAACCTTGAACCAGAAACCTTCAACTCAACCCTAAACCCTAAACCCCTAAACTTGAATATACTTGAATCTTGAAACCTTAAACCCTAAACCCGAACACCCAAACACCCAAAACGCCCACCAAAGCACACGAGCCTCGCACCGGCGGTGCTGGGGCCCAGGTCCCCCCTCCCTCATCCCTCCCTGGCTTTCTGGCGCCGCGAGAAGCTGGGCGAAGCCCACAGAGAGTTGTGAAGAAAAGAGCGGGGATCGGATGTCTTTTTAGTTTGGGTTGTGGGATCGGGGGGTCTTTAGGGATCGGGGGGTCTTTGGGGTTTAGGGTTTAGGGCTCAAGGTCTTTCGGGTTTGGGGTTCAGGGTCTTAGGGTTTAGGGAGTCGTTTTTTCGGTGAAGGTCTGCTTAGGGTGTACCTTAACCCCACGTAACCTACCTCTTTAAGGACTTATATAAAGAAATCAAAAGAGGGAACCCTAAAAAGGTAGGTTCCTTCGGGTCCAGGTAGGGTTCAATTTTCGGGTTCAGGGGCACTGTAACGGGGGAAGACTTCGGTTCTGGTGCGCTTTATTGGGGTTCAGAGGGTTTCGTTGGCCTCGACTTGTTTTGGGGTTTAGGGTTTATGGGTTAGGGTTTAGGGTTTGGGGGCTGTAGGCTGAGGCTGTAAGTTTAGGGTTCGAGGGCTTAGGGGCTGAAGGAGGTTTAGGGTTTACGGGTTAGGGTTCAGGGTTTAGGGGTACTTGGGTTGAGGGTCATTGTCTGCAGTGCTTAGGGTTCCGTTGTTACGATAGGGTTTACTTGGAGGTTCATGGGTAGTTCTATAGGGGTAGTTAGAAGTAGGGTTCATAGGGGTCCTTTAAAGGGATCTATAGGGATTCGATAAGGGTATATGGTTTAGGTTCATGGGTAGTTACAAGTAGGGTAAAAAGTAGGGCCGCTATACGTATGACCCATTTGAGGGGACGAAGAACGATACTTATAACTAATCCTGAACCTCCAAGCAGGACCTTTTAGGGAGTGTAAGTGTTCAAGGGGCCGCAAAGCACCAATCCCGGATCACTAAGGCCAGAAAGCCCGAAACCCATCCCGTTTGGTGCGCACCCGAAGGTCAAAACCTCAAATCCTTAAATCCCTGAAACCCCTAAGCCCCTAAACCCCTATAGATTCCTTATAGATGCCCTTTAAAGGAACCCTTATAGATACTTATAGATCCGTTTAAAGGAACCTTCTCGGTGCCCACCCGAAACCCGAAGCCCCGACACCCCAAATTACTAAACCCCTGACCAAAAAGGCCCTCCTGAACCTTCTCGTACGACCACGGGAGGTATATAGTGGCTTTAGGGTTTAGGGTTTAGGATTTAGGGTTTAGGGTTTAGGATTTAGGGTTTAGGATTCAGGGTTTAGGGTTTAGGATTTAGGATTTAGGGTTTAGGGTTTAGGGGCTTGACCACGTGGGTTCCGCAAAAAGCTTTGAAGGATCTTTAGTGAGCAATTGGACGGGGAATGGTGTTGCGCTCAGCAGTGTATCCTCACTCCTATTTCCCGGCCGAAAGCCCTAACCCCCCAACCCCTAAACCCAAAGCCCCCAAAACCCGAAGCCCCTACAACCCGAACCCTCTAAGCCCTAAGCCCTTAGCCCCTACTTAAAGGATCATGGGACTTAGTAACTAAGGTTGCTATCAGGGTAACCATACTTAAAGCTACTTATAACCCGAATTAAGGTATTTATAACCTTACTTACCAAGTCCCATGATCCTCCAAGTAATTAAACCCAGAACCCGGAGGTGGAGTTGATGCTTTGGTTGTTGAATTCGTAGCGACGGCAGCGACCACAGCAGCATCCGCAACCATAAACCGAACCCTTGCGTAGGTAAGCCGTGAGCCCAGATCTCAAGCCCGCGGTGTTTGGCTCGCATCCTGCAGGGTTGTGACGGGGGCCTGGAGTGTACGCATCATCACGGCTTAGGCCCTAAGAGATATCCGTACTAGGACCAGTGCATTCAGGAATTTCTCCAAGGAAGACGTTGCTGTTGTGTTGCTACTTGGTCCCCAGGGTGTCGAGAGAGAGACGCGGCCTCATGAGTGCCTTTCTTCGGACTTTGCTGCTCTGCACCTTGCCAGCCTGGACGTCTGCGGTGAAACACAGCGGCTACATCTATGACGCTCGACTTTACTGGCTTTCCCGGAGAGCCCACTACCCCTGAATTAAGGAATATGGCTTAAATTATATAGGGCTTCATATTATGATTTAAGCTGTATTCCTTAATTAAGGGGTATTGGGCTCTTTGGGTTTGTCGGCGTTGGATTTCGAGGGTGTAACGTTTTCAAAGCACCGGAATAGACAGTTCATTCGTATGCTTTCGGGGGATGGACACCCACAATCATATGGATCCTTAGGGGTGTAGGGGGAGGGGGGGTAGGGGGCCTTAAGGCCCATAATAAGGACTAATAAGGCCTATTTAAGGAAATATAGTCCCCTACACCCCTCCCCCCTACACCCCTAAGGATCCCTATGACACAAGAAACGGCAGGGTTTAGGGTCCCGGGGAGACTTCGGGTTCAGCTATAATCTGGGTGCTTGTTAAGGGATTTACAGGGTTTAGGGTTTAGGGTTTAGGGTTTAGGGTTTAATTGAAGTTGAAAAAATAGGGATCTCTAGTAAATAATCCGGTTTTCTTATGATGGTAACTTAGCTAAAATCCCTTTCACAAGAACCCAGTATTAAATGCTGACGCATTTTGGTGCTCTCGGTCGACGGCTTCGTGAGGCTTGCTTCTCAAGCAAAGTTCCAAGCCAGCCTCCAATCCTGCAAAACTGTAAGCGATACCATCTATGTCGCAGGCCGGTTAGACACACTCCCCACCACTGCCCTAATCAAGAAATATTACAGCAGTGAGGCTGAACCTGAACCCTGTAGCGCTAAGCCCAAGAAAGACAGCGACTTCGACCCATAGCAGTGATTGCAGCCCTAAGCACTAATTTCAAGTGGTTCCTGAATCATGAACCCTCAACTTCAAGCCAACAGTCAAAGGACCGGTTGTGCATCGAGCGCGGCGTAGGCATCGATGGCGTGGACGGGCGCCGCCAGCCCGAACGACACACGGCACCTGGGATGCTTCCCAGAGATTCCAACATCCCTTTAGGGTATTAGGGTTTAGGGGATTAGGGTTTAGGGTTTAGGGTTTAGGGTTCCAACATCCCTGTATCAAGTGGCTCATATACGGCTTTAGGGTTTAGAGGCTGTCGGGCTTTCGGATTTGGGAGGGTCTTAGGGTTTTAGGGTTTGGGGCTCAGGGTTTTGGGGTTTTAGGGTTTGGGGTTTAGGGATTCATCCCAGTAGTAACGGCGCAAGGGTTTGAATTATCCAGGGTCTGTAGAAATAGTGTCACTGGTTTCGCAGGATGTCAATGCACCTATAGCTTAGTGAATGATACCAGGCTTCTCATTGTGAATAAAGCACACTGGGGGCAGAGTTGGTTCTACTCCAAAGGCTACAGAGGTCGGGTCTACGGTACAGGATAAGTGTACAATATCAAGCAATCTGCTCTGTACATAGATCCCGAACTCTATGCCCGGAACCGAAAACACTACACCCTTGAACCTAAACCCCAAAATGCTACACCGTAATGTTTAAAGCCTACTCGTGGACCCAAATGACCTACCTCCTTAAGGATTTTTTTCAAGAAATCATGATCGGGAGCCCTACAAAGGAGGGTTTTATGGGGTCCAGGTGGCCCCCCGTGCCGGAAAGCTAGGATTCAATCCTCGACGCCTACCGAATCTAAACCAAAAGCCTCTAACTCCTAAGGTCCTAAACCCTCAACCCTCAACCCTAAACCCTAAACCCTAAACCCTCAACCCTAAATCCTGAACCTACCAAATGTTGGGCTCAGGTGCACTGCCTGCTCGTGAGCATCTGCCAGGACGGTTTCGTAGAGTACTGTAGAAACCGTTATAATTAGCAGCTATACTACTGCTGATGGACAAAATCCTGCATGACCCTAAGGACCCTAAACTATGGGAACTATGGTATATTCCTTATAATGGGTAATGCAGGATTTTGTCCATCAGCAGTATTTTTGGGGTTCCTTATTATAGATATAGTATAATGGGCACCAAAACCTATTTAAATTATTCAGGCTGCTATATTACCCAGACCTCTCGAAGGATCCACAAAGTAGATCCCTTGAGGTGGCTCCTGTCGTGACGATTCTACTTTCTAGGTTCCGGAGGTCTGGGTATAGAACTCGTAGAAAACGGACTAAATACCAATGGTAGCTCCCAGAATTCCTTAAAAGAACGATATTTTACCCTAAATAAGTTTTAGGGTTCGATTGTGGACTACACAAGAGCTGGTTTAAGAATTACCTTAACCCACCAGAACCCACTTTTTTTTGGGTCCCTACAAACTCCATAATACGATGTATAATAGGAACCTACGAAAAAGTAGGTTTGGTAGGTTAAGGTAGGGTTTAGGGGAGCCCGAACAAAAATCCCGCAGACCAAAGCTGACATCCCAAGAGCCAGGGTTTAGGGTTTAGGGTTTTGGGTTTAGGGTTTTGGGTTTAGGGTTTTGGGTTTAGGGTTTAGAGTTTAGGGTTTAGGGCCCAGCAGAACCGAACCGAACAGCCACGTGGCAACAAGATCCATAACGGCGGCATTTTGCAGAGTTATTGGCTTATCCCACTAAAGCCTTCATGCAACTGCACCCACAACCCTGCGGCCTCAAACCCTAGGCACTGAGCCAAAATGCCCCCATAGGATATAGAACTTATTCTCAACGCCAAACCCTGAACCCTAAACCCTAAAACCTACGCCTTAAACTTTAAACCCAATTACCTACACCCTAAACCCTAAACCCCACACCCTAAAACCTGAACTGCCAAGAGCGCCGCTGACCATTTGCATGGGCGCTCGAGGCTCGACCGAGGCCCCCTTACGAGCGTCTCGTCAGAACGGTGAGGGAGGCTTTACCCAGAGACTCCAAAACCCCTTAATTAAGGATTATACCTTAAATCATATATATATATATATATATATATTTTTTTTAAACCCTAAACCCCTTAATTAAGGAATATACCTTAAATTATCATAGGATCTCTTATATGATTTAAGGTATATTCCTTAATTAAGGGGTTTGGGAGTCTCTAGGTAAAGCCTCCCGGCATAAACGCCGCCCCGCTGTTGACTCTCTGCCGTCAGGCAGTAAAGATAGACCCCAAACCCACGACCATTGGCGTCGCATGTGCTTTGCAATATGCCCTGCCTTGCTGCCAGACTTGCTGCCCCGCCCTGCCTGCCCTGCCCTGCCCTGCCTTCCTTGCCCTGTCTTCTGTATTGGAAACTCTCGCTTCTCGTCGAGCTGGCGGTACAGGGCCGCGAGGACCCACAACCCGACACGAATCCATCTCAGAGAGCAAGAAAGCCCCCGTTGAGGGGGGTTTGGGGGGTGCAAGCGAGAGATAAGTGGGTGCGCCCCCGTTTCTAAAGAAGCGCACCCACCGCGCGCATACTGTTACACACCTAAACCCTAAACCCTTAAGAGCGCCGCTGACCATTTACATGGGCGCTCGAGGCTTCGACCAAGGTCCCCGACCGAGCGTCTCGACAGAAGGGTAAAGCCTCCCGGTATTCGGGGACGGAACTGACTCGGCTGGTTTACCCCGGTTTGGCACCCCAGCCTGGCAGATTTCAGTTAACCTGCCTTACCTGCGCTGCCCTGCCCTGCCCCAATCCATGTCAGGTGTGGTTTCTTGTGAAATGTAGTTTGTGAATGTTGTTTATGTGTGGAACTGCCAAAAGAAGCAAATAGCAAGAAAGCCGCTCTTGAGGGGGGTTTGGGGGGTGAACCCTAAACCCTATTGAGAATAGTTGGCAACCCTTACAGGGTGGGAGGAGCGAATTGAAACCCTTGTTTTTTCGTTGATCGACCGGCACAGGCCGCGAGGACCCACAACCCGACACCAATCCATTTCAGCTGTGGTTTACTGTAAAATGTGGTCGTTTATGTGTCAGACTGAGAAGGGAGGCAGAAAGCAAGAAAGCCGTCCTTGAGGGGGTTTGGGGGGTGCACCCTAAACCCTAATTGAGAACAGTTGGGGTGGTTGGGGCGGGACTACATGCTGCCGCAAGCGCGCGATAAGTGGGTGCGCCCCCATGTAAAAGAGAAACGCACCCACCGCGCGCACACTGTATACGCACCCTTACCCCTAAACCCTAAGCCTCAGAAATTTACACCCTTTGAAGGGTTCGACAAAGGCTTGAGGGCTTGGGCAGTCTAAAATCAGCTTTGCCTAACTCCCCTAAATCCCAGACGCTGCTGGTTATCTCAAGAAGGCATCAGGAAGAAGGCTGCTATGTTTATCTGTTTGTTCTCTCTCTCTCTCTCTCTCTCCCTCTCCCTTTCTTTCTGTTTCTATCTTTCTTTTAAAAGCATCAAGCCAGCCCTAAATTATAGAAGCATCACACAGCGACAGAACTCCGGCTTTGGCATCCTCACGAAGCCCAGCGGCGCTGATCTCTGGTCCTTCGAGGAGCTCCCTCTTACAAATGTACATATGTTTAGATATATACACGCACAGTCTCGCACTCTTAATACATACACATATATGCATAGAGGTTTATGTACATATACATACAAATATATATGTACACACATAGCTATGTAGTAATTTTAAGCAGCAGCCGGGGGTTTCCCACAGTCAACGGCTTTGGTTGTTGCTTTTCTGGATTCTCTCAGTCTTTTGCAAGAGGTTTTGGCGTTTTGTTAGTTTTACGGGAACCAGGCATCTTTGGTTGAAGAAAACAGGCTCGACTTCTTGAATAGAGCAAATCTGGTAGTATAGTTTTGGGGAGCTCAAACACTTTGCCTGGACTCAAGATTGGGATTTAGAGGCTTGATGTTTTTCTGTAAGCCAACAAGCCTACGTTTAGGATACCTTACCGAGGTGTTTTGGCTAATAGGGTCTAGAGTTTGCTGCCAGGTGCTTTTCTCCGACCGGGGCAATGCTGACGTCATCACTTGGCTCGGCACGCAGGAGTACTGGGGCACGGAGGTTCAGGTGGAGGTCGAGGGCAGTTACGACGGCTCGGGGAAGCTGCACGTGGACAGCATCAAGCGCTTGAACGATGGCAGTGTGTGGCAAGGACGTGGTGCAGGAGGCGCCACTACAACTACCTCCACCACCCCCAGTACTACAACGACCCCGCAGACAACCCAAGGTACAACTTCAACAACTGAAGCAAGCACTTCCACTACAACCCCAGGGACAACTTCCACCACCCAAGGAACTACTTCCACTACAACCCCGGGAACAACTTCCACCAGTACCCCGGGAACAACTTCCACTACCACCCCAGGAACTACTTCCACTACAACCCCAGGAACTACTTCTACAAGTACACCGGGAACAACCTCTACTACAACTCTGGGCACTCCGAATTCAGGCAGCTCCACCACAGGCCCTAGACCCAGCCCTGCGTTGCTCAACCCTAAAGCCCTAAAGCTCCAAAGCCCTAGAACCACCACCCCCAAACCCCAAAGCCCCAAGAGTCTAAACCCCTCTACCGTTCAACCCTTAAACCCGTAAACTCTAAACCCTGAATCCTAAACCCTTTAACCCTTAAGCCCTAAACCGTTACACCCTAAACCCTAAACCCTTACCTTATGTACTCAAGCCCTTTAAACCCCTCAACCCTTAAATAAACCCTTAAACCCAAGCCCCCTACTAGGTCCCCCGGTGAGCCCCTCGGCGACTTCTGGCGGTGGGCCTCTCTGGCAGCTGCCGTGGCTCGTCGTCCTCCTACCGGCTCTCCTCCTTCCGCCGCTGGCGTGAGAGGGCCTTGGGGTTCGGTTCCTGTGGCATTGGGTTTAGACCGTAGGTGTAGGGAATCGTGGGGTTTCAGGGTTTAGACTTCAGGGTTTAGGCTTTAGGGAATGATAGGGTTTCAGGGTTTCTAGAGTTAGGCTTTAGGGTTTAGGGTGTAGGGAACAATAGGGTTTTAGGGTTTAGAGTGTAGGGGAATAATGAGGTTTTAGGGTTTAAGCTTTAGGGTTGAGGGTGCAGGGAATAATGGGGTTTCAGGGTTTAGGCTGTAGGGTGTAGGGAATAATCGATTTCTAGGGTTTAGGCTGTAGAATTTAGGGTGTAGGGAACACTAGGGTTTATGTATTTTCGGTTTCAGAGTTTGTGGCCTCGTGTTTCTGTTCCATCCCAGACCTTCCAAAATCCCTTAATTAAGGAACATATCTTAAATCATATAAGGGATCCTACTATAGTTGAAGGTATATTCCTTAATTAAGGGATTTTGGAAGGTCTGAAATTGTCACAGGGTTTTTTTTATCAGGGTTTCATACATGTTGTGAAACGGGTTTGTGTGGATTCTCGAGGGCAATTCCCCCCATATCCGACCTGAAACCTAAATAATCGACATTTTTGGGCCCACTTATTATGACTTCTTTATGTAGATTCTTATGGCTGCTGTTTTGGGGGGGCTTAAGATAGAGCACCCTGCACCCTAAACCCTAATCCCTCGAACCCTACACACTAAACCCGAATTCGCAAACCCAAAATCCCAACATTAAGGCTTCGAGCGGATTGCTCGAGCCCGATCCCAAAATCCCGAGGCCCTCAAATGTTTGCATTTTTCTTAGTGCTCCTTTTCCATGGCGGCAACTCTGGGTGCAAGAGGTCCCATGAATGGGCAACGCAGGGTTTCTGATCAGGGGTACCTTGCTGCTATAGAAAGAGCACTAGGTGCATTTTTGGGGCCCTGACACAGCGCCGCCCCCGCTTAAAGCGGGGTGGCTGCCATGTGACAAACATGTCCAAGTGCGCCCGCGAGCAGGCTTGCTTTAGTCCTTTGTTCCCGTAGAGTCATCCTCGACCCTAAACCTTACACACCTAAACCCCTAAACCCTAAACCCTAAGCCTTGTTCTAGCCGTGCCTGCAGGTGGAAAAGAGCCCACAAAAAAAACCTAAGCCTTACACCCCTAAACCTCAAGCCCTTAAGCTTCAAACGCAGCAGCCTAGTTAGGAGCCGACTCGGGCAGGCGCACAAAGAAGGCCGTCAACCTAACTTAAAAAAAGCTTCAAACGCTTAAGCCTTCATGATGTTCCTTTACCAGACCTGCAGAAAACTCGAATTCTGAGTTCAACTTAGGAGGTCCTCCCACCTTTAATGCCCGTGTAGCCTTTGTCAATCTGACACCGAAAGCCCCGAGCCGAAAAAAATCTGAGAACTTTGATACTCTTCGAACAAAATTCACAAAGTACTAAATCCAAAAAAGTTGATAAGTGCATATTTTGTCAAAAATAAGTACGTAGAAACAAACAAATGAGAACAACATAAGCATGTGCATATAGATACAAATATATGTATAGATATACAAATAAGAATAAATATGATCATAGATATAAATAAATAAATATGAGTATGAAAGATGAAATGTATTTGGCGCATAGAGCCTGCCAAAACACAGTCGAATTACTCAACCCCGAGCCCTAAACTGCAATCCCTGAGCCCTAAACCTTGAACCTTAAACCCTAAACCCTAAACCCTAAACCCCAAACCCTAAACCCTAAACCCTAAAACCCTAAACCCTAAACCCTAAACCCGAATCTTGAACCCTTACATCCGAAACCCGAGCACCCAAAAACCCAAAACGCCCAACAAACCCCACGAGCCTCGCCGCGGCGGTGCTGGGGCCCAGGGGGACCCCCTCCCCTATCCGCTCCTGGCTTTCTCGCGCTGCGAGAAGCCGAGCCAAGACCACAGAAAGTTGTGAAGAAAAGGGCGGGGATCGGGGGTCTGTTAGGGTTGAAGGATCGGGGGGGCCTTTGGGGTGTAGGGTTGAGGGATCGGGGGGTCTTTGAGGTTTAGGGTTTAGGGTTCAGGGTGTTCGGGGTTTAGGGTTCAGGGTCTTAGGGTTTAGGGGGAGTCTTTTTTTGGTTGAGGGTCTTGGGTTTAATTTTCGGGGTTTAGGGGCTCTGTAAAGGGTGCGGAGTTCGGTTTTGATGCGTTTTATTGGGGTGCAGGGTCCTTCAGCTGGTCCGTTGGCTTCGACTTGTTTTGGGATTTAGGGTTTACGGGTTAGGGTTTAGGGCAACCCACCCAGTTTGGTGCTTACCCGAAACCCTAAGCCCCAAACCCTAAATTACTAAACCCCGCGACCCCAAAGGCTCTGAACCTTCTCGTACGACAACTGGAGGTAGTGGCTTGACCACTACCTAGTAGTTCCCTAAACCCTAAACCCTAAACCCTAAACCCTAAACCGACCACTACCTAGTAGTTCCCCAAACCCTAAACCCTAAACCCTAAACCGACCACTACCTAGTAGTTCCCCAAAAAACCTGACAGGATCAGTAGTAGAGGGTCTGCCATCTTCGGGCTCCCTACTACAACTGTAGTATAATTTGGGTACGGCCCCCATACAGTAAGAGTCTATAATAGGGCTACTATGCAGGTCCTAATATATCTATATTATGAATATTATTCAACTGTTACTGAGTGGGGGCCATACCTAAAGTATAATGATTTAATGCTGCCCCACAACCCATTATTAAGGCCTTATGTTATAGTACCTAATAGTACCCTTATAGATCCCTTATAGTAGCCTTTATACACCCCTTTAATAGGAACCCTATCCTAATTATCAAGACCCCTAGAGTACTGCCCTCATGTCTCCTGAACCTCCATAAGGATCCCCCAAAGGAGCAGTTCTCTAAATTAGGGGTCGTTGTTGGGGATCCTACTTAACAAGGGTGCCGTAGAAGTTCGGGTCTAAGGACCCTGCTTCAGAGAACTGCCCGGAATGTTCAGGTTTCGAGGTTCGAGAAGTCCAGAGATTAAGGAGTTTGAGGTTTCGGCATTTAGGTTTTAGGGTTTGGGTTTGGGGTTCAGGGTTTGGTTTATGGCTCAGGGTTTTGCGCTTTAAGTTTACTTAGGCCGCAGACTCCAAAACGCTTGAATTCAGGATCCTTCATCATTCATGATTTCTTTTCGCGGCTGCAATACATGTAGCATTCTCCCAGGAATCATCCGTTTTCAGCCAAACTCTTCACTCATCGAGTACTGCGCTCTCTGGCTAGGATTCAGGTTTTCGCCTTTGGGGTGTAAGTGTTTGGGGGATTGACGTGTTGACATGTCCTTGCAAAAACCAAAGACTCCAGATGCACCATGTATATACAGAGGATCCCCACAGTGAGGGCGGCTAAAGAAAAACGCACTGGATCTTGGGCAACCCCGTCTGTCTCATAGCAGTTAAACCCTTGGCCCTAAACCTTTGCGAAACCCTATGCAACCCTCTACTACCCTTAAACCACCCTTACAAACCAGGACCTCCATGTACCTCTACGGGGCGGTTCGGGGCCGCAGGTAGTGCCAGTGGAGCTGCAGTGGAACGAGCGCATCGTCATCGTAGAGCAGGCCCAGACAAGATCGGGTTCGGAGAATATAGGGGCCCAAACAGTTACCAATACTATTTTGGAGGTTCCTCAATGTAATTATAGTGTAATGGGCTACAAAAGCCTCTTTTAATCATTAAGGCCCCTAGATTAAGCCACCTTGGAAATAGAACACCCCCCGCGACAAAAAATTCTAAACCCTAAACCGCAAGCTCAACATCCTAACCCTTAACCCTGACCACATTGCGAGCACTTCATGTGGGTTGAAGCCCTTAGCCCTGAGCCAAAAAGACACCCAAGCCTTGAACGGACATCTGACACCTTCCAAAGCGATCTCACTACATCGTACACGGCTGTGTCTCTGAAAAGATGCCCATACCGCCATACCCTATGCACTCAATCGCCCAGCAACCCCCGATGAACCTTACGACCCTACACGTGAATGCACACGAAGCAACCCTGAGCCCGAAGCTTTTGAACCTAAACCCCTTAGCCAAGATGCGGAATCCTACCCCTAAGCACTCAGACAGAGGCTTCAACTCCCCTAAACCGACGCAACCACAACAAATGCCTGTAGAAACTTGAATATTAAACGGGGCTCTTGTTAAGGAACTTAGTTTAAGTGACCATGATACATAAGAAACCATGTTATTTACCATGGATCCCTATTATGGCAACTGAAGTTAAGTTCCTTAACAATAAGAACCCAGTAAACCGTACACCCTCAACTTGAGGAGGTCTCAAGATCTGCCTTGTCTGTCAACAGACTGCAAGACCACTGAACAAAGGACAATTCCTGACAACGCACAGGGATCCGTGATGCGCGATCTTTAGTTACGGGATGTTGAGTTCTATGCACCCTGTGAAAGTTTGACGAGCATTTCAATACCACTAAACCCTAGGTCCAAAACATCCTCAACCCTAAACCCGAAACCCGAACCCCTAACACCCTCAACCTAGATGCGTAGCCCCTAAACCCTAAACCTCCTTGGAGCCCGAATCCCCAAACCCGGAACCCTGAACCTTAAGCCAAAACCCCCCGAAGCCCCAAAACCCCCCCCCCCCCCCAAAACAGCTGCAGAGGCACGAAGAGATGCTCCCCTAAACCCTAAACTCTAGACCCTAAACCCCACCCTAAACCCTAAACCCCAGACCCTAAACCCTAAACCCTAAACCCTGCAGAGGCACGAAGAGACGCTCATCTTGGGAACTCCATCAGCTTCTACCTTTCGTGGCTCGGAGCAGGGTTGTGTGAGGCCTTGGGGCTGAAGGTGCTTCTGTTTTTTGGGGTGGTGGTTGGACTTAGTAAGGTTCCTTAAAGGGCTCCTTAAAGGGATCTGTAGGGATCCTTATAAAGGGATCTATAGGGTTTAGGGTTTAGGGTCTACTTGGAGGATCATGGGACTTAGTAAGTATGGTTACAAGTACC